CCCTTTTTTTGGGTTTCTAGGGTGTTGGCACTTTGCCCTTTTACCTAACATACATAAATAATCTCTAAATAAGATTACCATAAAAAATCATAATTATCGCCTATGATTCGAAATTAGGAGAGATGAAATAAAATCGCTGCATACATGTACGAGAATTCAGAAGAACCTGAGTAGGTCGGTCAAGTATTTGCAGACGTAAAATACGAGCATCGACCAGCAAGTGTAAAATAATTCATTTTGATTACTAGAATATAACACATGAACTTAAAAACCAGTTTTCTAAGAGCGAAAAACCTATGGTATTAAAAAAAAAAAAGCCATTGCACAGTTTGTGATATCAAATATAAAGCACCAGGAAGAATGATAAAACTTTAATTCACTATGTAGTTTTGGTCCCAAAATTCCATAAAAAGTAAAGACAAGCTGAAGGACTTGCAGATTAAGGTAACTATACAAATATGCAGCTGCAATGGTATATAAATACTGGCAAAGGTCAGTAAAGGACACTTAGATGTCCCAATAAAAGTACAAGCAATGAATGCTGATGTGCAGGAGAGTATCTTTAACAGGACTTCACTAAGAAGAAACTGTATTAAGAAAATAGTGCTCAACTTTTTTTTATAGACAAGAAAAACACGGGTAAGCTTTGAAGACCACGTGTCACCATTTATAATAAGTAACTTGGCACAATTTTTAACACATTATAATTCTCTTCGCTCACTTTCTCTCCGTCAGAGGACGGAGAGAAAGAGAGCCTTCTGCTAGACTCTTCTACTTCACAACCTATCAGTCTCCTAGTAACCTAAATATTAGAAAGGTCCACTAGGTCAGGCAAGGTGGAGGTCACGTGAGAGGCCGGGAACTTAAGGCACTGTAACGTACAACCTTCTCGTAACTGGGTCGCCTTAAACGTGATAAAGTACACTACCCCAGACCCCTCTATTGTGCCTGATTGTGGAGGGTTATGTTACTCGCCCACGATCTCTCATCCAGGCTCTTCCTCCACTTATTCATTTACTCACTCTCTCACTCTCTCTCCATCTCTCATCTCTTTTTTTTCGAAACCTTTGAAGTTCCATTGATGGACACTTATTGGAATGCTTGACGATATCCTCATTGCCCTCCTAAAGTCTACCAACTCTGGCTGCCAGATTTCAATTCCTTGTATGATCCCTACCCTGCGTGATGTAATATGACAGGGAAAC